GAGACGATCCCTGGCTGACACGGTGAAAACCACGTCTCTATAAAAATAAACAATAAGCCGAGCAGCCACGCAAGACAACAGCCTTGGGATATGATGTAAATATAGCATTCAAAAATGTACATGTTAGTGTTAATGCCCTCAATTTTATATTTCATCATCCAGAAAAGTATCATCTATACATTGATATTGTGGATCTTATACCACTGTCTTTTCTCAGAGTTAGAGAATACATTAGAGAATATTTCTGTGTTGAAAGTTATTTATTAAATATTTTCTGTCACTCCTATAAGTAAGAACCAGTTCTCTTTACTCTTGTTTTGCCTTGAGTCAAATTAAAAATTCTGTTCCTGGCCACTTGGTAAATATGTGTGTGTGTGTTTGTATGTTTTTCAGGGAGTGTTGACATTTAGGGATGTGGCCATAGAATTCTCTGTGGAGGAGTGGCAATGCCTGGACACTGCACAGCAGAATTTATATAGGAACGTGATGTTAGAGAACTACAGAAACCTGGTCTTCCTGGGTGAGGATAACTTCAGTACACAATTCCCTAATATACCCTATAAGTTTTATTTCTCTTTTTTTGTAGAATGGTTTTTGGTAATTTATGCTTTCAGATCTCTGTGTTTTTTGTTTGTTTGTTTGTTGTTTGTTTTTAAACTTCAAGCTTTGTCTATGTAGAAAGGAATTTCAAGATGTTTCATTTTGACCTGAACTTTCCACACTCCTGAGCTGATCTGTGTCCTTTCACTCTAGATTAGTGTTAATTTTAGAAATTTAGTGGCATAACATAACTGTTGCCCACATCTTAAAATGTAATTGCCACTACCAATTTTTGATTTAGTAGTACCAGGTAGTAAAATTAAGAACGTACAAAATTAAAATATTTCCTAAATATTTTAAATTTTTTGTTGTAAATGAGTATTTTGGAATTAATTTACTAGAATATTCTATTACATCATTTTTACTGAACCCATTACCAAATTGATAATTGGAGAATATGAGCACGATTCATGCTATTTTTAGTAAAACAGGTATTGCTGCCTCTAAGCCAGACCTGATCACCTGTCTGGAGCAAGGAAAAGAACCTTGGAATGTGAAGAGACATGAGACAGTAGCAAAACACCCAGGTAGGTGAGAGTGAAAGTGAATACAACAGACAACACAGATGAGAGGTCCAAAGCAGAAAAAAGAAAAGTCCTTAAAATGATTTGAAATCTGTGTTCCAAAGGAAATAGTTTCTAGGAAGCCTGAATTTTTTTTTATTTTGCTCTCACAAAGAAGCATCTTCTGTCTGATCTTTGTAAAATCACTAAAGATTTTACTTTCCCTTTGGTGACCTTCCTTCAAGTTTACAGTGACAGCCAAGAGAGTCCTCTTCGTGGCATATGAGAGACTGCAAAATCTGACTGCTTCTTCGTTGTTTTTGAAAACACACAGATAATCTGCAAAATTTTGAGAAACTCTGTGTTAAACTGTTTTTTAAGTTCTCTTTTTACATCATGTCCTAAGTGTGTGAGAGTAGTGGTTTCTGTTCCGTTGTCTTTTTATTGCTAATTTTTCTGCACATTGCATTCTGTCTTCTTCTTATAGTCTTGAAGTATAGTTTGAAATTATAAAGTATGATGTTCTTGTGCTTTGTTCTTTTTTTTTTTTTCAAGATTGCTTTGGCTATTCAAAGTTTACTGTAGTTCTGTGTGAAAATTGTATTTTCTTTTTGTTGTTGTTGTTTGAGACGGAGTCTCGCTCTGTCACCCAGGCTGGAGTGCAGTGGCACCATCTCGGCTCACTGCAACCTCTGCCTCCCGGGTTCAAGCAATTCTTCTGCCTCAGCCTCCCAAGTAGCTGGGACTACAGGTGTGAGCCATCACACCTGGCTAATTTTTGTATTTTTAGTAGAGACGGGGTGTCACCATATTGGCCTGGCTGGTCTTGAACTCCTAGACTTCATGATCCGCCTGCCTCGGCCTCCCAAAGTGCTAGGATTACAGGCATGAGCCACCACGCCTGGCCGAGAATTGTATTTTCTATTACTGTAAAAAAAATACTGGAATTTTGATAGGGAATTTATTGAATCTAGAGATCATTGTAGATAATATGGCACTTTAATAATATTCTTTCAGCCGGGCATGGTGGCTCACACCTGTAATCCCTGCACTTTGGGAGGCCAAGGCAGGCGGATCACCTGAGGTGTTTTTTGACCCTGGCTCAGAAACACTGTACTGTACATTTCAGGCATGTGAAGTATATTTACATTGTTTTATAAAAGACTTCTAGAAATTTTACAATACCCATTAAACAACTACCAATTTTTCCCATTTCCTGGCACTTTTCAAATACCATTCTTTTTTCTGTTTCTAAGAGTATAACTGCTTTATATATCTCATAAAATCTCTGTCTGTGGCTGGCTCATTTTATTTTGCATAAAGTCATCAAGAGTTACTTTTATAGCTGTTAGAATATTTCCTGCTTTTTTTCAAACTGAGTAATATTTTGGTATTTTTATATTTCAAATTATATCTGCTGAACGATTTGGTGACCGAAATTTGCCTTGCTTTTACCTATTGACTTTTAGTAACAATGCTAAAATAATTGTGGGTATGCAAGTGACTCTTCATGTGACCATATATGTGAGAGTTTATATACGTGCTGCATTCTATTTTATTAGTCTACTTTTTCACCTGTATACTCATACCAAATTGTTTTAATTCTGTAGCTTTGTGATGTGTTTTGAAATCAGGAACTAATGCCTCCAACATTGTTTTGTTTCGTTTTTAATATTTTTGGGTACTTTATTGTCTGTAGAGATTCTGTATACTCGAAGGATTGCTGTTTCTGTTTCTTCAAAAATGCAGTGAGAAATTTGAAAAACATTGCATTAAATCTGTAGATTGTATTGAGCAGGATGGACATCTTTACAATATTACCTTTTTCAACCTTTCACAAGAGCATGTTTAAGAGTGTGTTAATTTCTATATATTTGTTAATTTTTCAGGTTTTTTTTCCTCTTATTGTATACTCATTTCATTTTGGTGATAGAAAGTAATTTATAAAATTTCAGTTTTAAAAAATTTGGTGAGACTTATTTTCTTTTTTTGGCATAAGAGGTGGTCTATCAAGGAAAATGTTGTATTAGCTGTTGAGAACCATGTGTATCCTGGTGTTGAGTGTTTTCTATACCTCTGTTAGAAATTGTCTTATACTGCCTGGAAGCCCTCTATTCCCTTACTAATATTCTCATTTAATTTTTATTGCAGAAAGTGCAGTGTTGAAATACCCTACTATAATTACGTTGCTGTCTATGTGTCTCTGTTGTTCTGTCAATATTTGCTATATATGTTTGGAGCCCTAATGTGAGATGCACACACACACCCCCACACAGATATATATACACATTTTTCATAGGTTCCCAGTGAGTAAATCTAAAGTCGTTGTTGTTGTTGTTGTTGTTGTTGTTGTTGTTTTGAGACAGAGTCTCACTCTGCGTCCCAGGCTGGAGTGTGGTGGTGCGATCTCGGCTCACTGCAACCTCTGCCTCCTGGGTTCAAGCAATTCTCCTGCCTCAGCCTCCTGAATAGCTAGGATTACAGGTGGCTGCCACCATGCCTGGCTAATTTTTCTATTTTTAGTAGAGACAGGGTTTCGCCATGTTAGCCAGGCCGGTCTCGAACTCCTGATCTCAAGTGATCAGGAGGATCACTTGATCCTACCTCGGCCTCCCAGAGTGCTGGGATTACCAGCATGAGCCACCGTGCCCAGCCTAAATCTGTAAGTTTTAATGTCCTTTTTGGTCTCCTTGGAGTTTTGACTTCAAGTACATTTTATAAAATATGACAGTTTTTGACGTAAGATGTAGCTTGCATAATATTATGTTGATTTCTTCTGCTCTCATTTGATTAATATTTGTATGAAATGCATTCTTCCATCTTGCCCCTTTTAGTGTTTTTTATCATTAGATCTCTACTGACTTTTGTAGAAAAAAAGGTTGGATCTTGGCTTTTAAAAATTTTAATAAATCTATTTATTGAAAGTGTGTCTCTTGATTTGAAAGTTAATTTGATATATATATTTAAGTAATTGTCTGATAGAGACCTTACTGTTATGTTTTTAATTACTTTATTTGATTCTTGCATCTTTGTTTCTCATTTTCTCTCTGTCTTTGTGTCTTTTCATTTTTGTATTGATATGCTTTTACTTATTTCTAATTCACTTTTGTATATTTGTACAGATTTTTTTTTTTTTGTGGTACCTTGGGGCTTCCATAAAACCTCTATAAGAAACAACAGTATATTTTTAATTTGGTACAAAATCAACTTCAGTTGAATAAAAAATTCTTCCTTATTACATCTGCCCTAAATTTGTACTTCGATTTGCTATTATGTTTTTGCAGTTGTATATTTTTAACAGATGTTTATAATTTCTTGCTTTCTATTTTCAAAATTTAGAGAATAATTTAAAATGTTTTCTGACCATTATGATAATGCCACCAAGATTCTATTTTTGGCATATTTTCCCAGGAAAATAATGTAATTTTTATTTGTTATGGTTTTTTTTTTTTTTTTTTTTAATCCTTTACTCAGCGTTCAGCTGCGTTTTACCATGCTTTTATATGCAGGGGCATATGCTGTCTAATACACTTTTTCAGATTTGGCTGTTTTGGAAGGTTTTCCTTTTATTTTGTCAGCGACAGGATTGTTGATGGTCTATTCTCACTTCATTGGCAGTTTTTTGTGTTTCTTTGTCTTTTTGTTTTTCAGCACTTGTGTCACACAGTTCTCCTTCTGGCCCGCAAAATTTTCGTGTTGATAATTCAGGGTAGTTTACAATTAAGACTTATGTTGTGTTAAATGACACATGTACTGTTTCATCTTGGCAGCTTCCGCATTTCTTCTGTTCGTGATTTTTGAAATGGTTCTTACATTCACATGTATTCTCTTTTATAAACTCTTTGTGTCTATCCACCTTAGATGTTTTCTTGTTGAATCTGCTTCATTTTTCACTCATTCTTTTTCTTTTTTCTGTCTTTTAAGGAATTTTCCTCTTTTATTTTTGTTTAATTTTTCTTTCCTGAATTTTATTAGCGCCTCCAAATTTTTAAAAATATTTTGATATTTTTGTTTTTATTCTCATTTTTGTGATTTTCTACAGTGGACTGACTGTATCCTAGTTTCACTCATTGGGTATTATTCAATTTATTAGTGTTTAAAATTAATGTGTACATCTTTTTTATGGTTTCTTTCTGGAATTTACACAATATTTTTGATGAAATCATATTGCTCTGTTTTGTATACATTGTAATCTTTGAGATTTGGACATTTTAAAAAGCTACCTGTCACCGTCTTTAAAATGCATTTTTTTTCTGACATAGTCTGAAAACAATTATCTTGGCTAGAGATTCTGGGAGTCTCTCAAACATGTTCTTAGGATGTGCCTTGTCTAAAATTTTGTGTTTACTTTTAGTCAAAGGAGTTTATTCGTGTTGTTTCTTCTTCTTCTTCTTTTTTTTTTTGAAACAGTTTTGCTCCTGTCACCTGGGCTACAGTGCAATGGCATGGTCTCAGCTCACTGCAGCCTCCACCTCCTGGGTTCTAGTGATTCTCCAGTCTCAGCCTCCCACTTAGCTGGGATTACAGGCATGTGACCCCATGCTCAGCTACATTTGTATTTTTAGTAGAGATGATTTCACCATGTTGCCCAGGCTTAGTCTCAAACTCCTGACCTCAGTTGATCTACGCGCCTTGGCCTCCCAGAGTGCTAGGATTACAGGTGTGAGCCACCACGCTCAGCCTATTCATGTTTCTTCTTAATAACCAATAATCACTTGCTATAATTGTTTCCTGTCTGTAATACCACAGTCTTTCTGCTGCTGTAAAACTTACCTTTCTTATTTATTTATTTATTTTTATTATATTTTAAGTTCTAGGGTACATGTGCACAACTTGCAGTTATGTTACATAGATATACATGTGCCATGGTGGTTAATGCTATCCCTCACCCAGCCCCCACTCCACAACATGCCCCAGTGTGTGATGTTCCCCGCCCTGTGTCCAGGTATTCTCATTGCTCAGTTCCCACCTATGAGTGAGAACGTGTGGTGTTTGGTTTTCTGTCCTTGTGATAATTTACTGAGAATGCTGGTTTCCAGCTTCATCCATGTCCCTGCAAATGACATGAACTCATTCTTTTTCATGAGTGCATAGTATTCTGTGGTGTATATGTGCCACATTTTCTTAATCCATTCTATCATTGATGGACATTTGGATTGGTTCCAAGTCTTTGCTATTGTGAATAGTGCCGCAATAAACATATGTGTGCTTGTGTCCTTATAGTAGCATGATTTATAATGCTTTGGGTATATACCCAGTAATGGGATGGCTGGGTCAAATGGTATTTCTAGTTGTAGATCCTTGAGGAATTGCCACACTGTCTTCCACAATGGTTGAACTAATTTATACTCCCACCAACAGTGTAAAAGTGTTCCTATTTCTCCACATCTTCTCCAGCACCTGTTGTCTCCTGACTTTTTAATGATCGCCATTTAACTTGGCCTGGAGATCGATCTATTGTAGGTTTTGATTTGCATTTCGTAATGGATCAGTGATGATTGAGCAGTTTTTCCACGTGTTTCTGTTGGCTGCATAAATGTCTTTTTGAGAAGTTGCTGTTTCACGATTCTTGCTTCACTTTTGATGGGATTGTTTTTTCCTTGTAAATTCTGTTTAAGTTCTTTGTAGATCTGAGGTATTAGCCCTTTGTCACACTGGGCGTAGTATTGCAAAGATTTTTCTCCCATTCTTGTAGGGTTGCCGTTACTTCTGATTGGTAGTTCTTTTGCTATTGCAGAAGCGTCTTTAGTTTAATTCAGATTCCCATTGCTCTATTCTGGCTTTGTTGCACTTACTTTGGTGTTTTAGTCAGAAGTCCTTTGCCTACCTATGCCTGAGTTGGTATTGCCTAGGTTTCTCCTAGGGTTTTATTGGTTTTAGGGTCTAACATTTAAGTCTTGAATCTATTCTTGAATAATTTTTTTTTTTTTGAGGGACGAGGGTCTTTGCTCTGTCGCCCAGGCTGGGAGTGCAGTGGCCGCATCTCAGACTCACTGCAAGCTCCACCTCCTGGGTTCACGTCCATCTCCTGCCTCAGCCTCCCAAGTACGCTGGGACTACAGGCACCCGCCACCTACGCCCAGCTGGTTTGTATTTTTTCATACGAGACGGGGTTTCTGCCGTTAGCCAGGATGGTTCCCGATTCTCTACCTCGTAATCCGCCGTCTCGGCCTCCCAAAGTGCCGTGGGTATTACAGCTGAGCCACCGCGCCCTGGCCTGACTGAATTTTATTATAAGGGGTAAGGGAAGGAATCCAGTTGAGCTTTCTAACATATGGCTATCCAGTTTCGCAGCAAACATGATGTAAATAGGGAATCCTTTCCCCATTTCTTGTTTTTGTCAGGTTTGTCAAAGATCAGATGGTTGTCGATGTGTGGTGTTATTTCTGAGGGCTCTGTTCTGTTCTATTTGTCTGTATATCTGTTTTGGTACCTTACCTTTTATCTCAGCACACTCAAACTGTCATTTGAAAGAATACCACTATTTCTTTCAGAACTTTTATGCAGTGAGAGACAGGAACCAGTGTCTGTAAAAGCACCTGCCATTGAGAAATAAAGATGTATAAGCCATTATTTTATTTGTCTTTTAAAAATGAAACCAGGAGTTGGCAGTTTATTTCTAAAGTCACTATATTATATAGGGAAGCAGGAAGATCTGTGTTGGGTAAATGTAACAGACTTCACTTTCTTCTATGTGCCTCTTTGCATTGGACTCACCTGGGGCACTGCACACACTTAACTTACTTTAATTTTTCACAAATGTAATTTGGTCTGTATGTTTTTGTTACTTTATATGGCTGTGAAAATGTTACAGCATGTAATATTTGGCTGTGCCATCTTGTAATGTAGTCTATCATTTTATAGGTTAGATTTGTAAAGTATATTCATCTGAGTCTCGTAAGTAAAGTAATTTATTGTTTTTATTTCTTTCAGTTGTATGTCCTTATTTTGCCCAACACCTTTGGCCAAAGCAGGGCATAAAAAATTATTTCCAAAAAATCATACTGAGAAGATATAAAAAATGTGGACATGAAAATTTACAGCTAAGAAAATACTGTAAAAGCGTGGATGAGTGTAAGGTGCGCGAAGAATGTTACAATGGACTTAGCCAGTGTTTGACAACTGCCCAGAACAAAATATTTCAATGTGACAAATACGTGAAAGTCTTTCATAAATTTTCAAATTCAGACAGACATAAGATAAAACATACTGGAAAGAAAGCCTTCAAATGTAAAGAATGTGAAAAGTCATTTTGTGTGCTTTCACACTTAGCTCAACAGGAAAGAATTCATACTGGAGAGAAACCCTACAAATGTAAAGAATGTGGAAAAGCCTACAATGAGGCCTCAAACCTTTCTACATATAAAAGAATTCATACTGGAAAGAAACCCTACAAATGCGAAGAGTGTGGAAAAGCGTTTAACCGGCTCTCACACCTTACTACACATAAGATAATTCACACTGGAAAGAAACCCTACAAATGTGAGGAATGTGGCAAAGCTTTTAACCAGTCTGCGAACCTTACTACACATAAGAGAATTCATACTGGAGAGAAACCCTACAGATGTGAGGAATGTGGCAAAACTTTTAGCCAGTCCTCAACCCTTACTGCACATAAGATAATTCATGCTGGAGAGAAACCCTACAAATGTGAAGAATGTGGCAAAGCTTTTACTCAGTCCTCAACCCTTACTACACATAAGATAATTCATACTGGAGAGAAATTCTACAAATGTGAAGAATGTGGCAAGGCCTTTAGCCGGTTCTCACACCTTACTACACATAAGAGAATTCATTCTGGAGAGAAACCCTACAAGTGTGGAGAATGTGGCAAAGCTTTTAAACAATCCTCAACCCTTACTACCCATAAGAGAATTCATGCTGGAGAGAAATTTTACAAATGTGAAGTATGTGGCAAAGCCTTTGGCCGATTCTCACACCTTACTACACATAAGAGAATTCATTCTGGAGAGAAGCCCTACAAATGTGAAGAATGTGGCAAAGCTTTTAACCTATCGTCACAACTTACTACACATAAGAGAATTCATACTGGAGAGAAACCCTACAAATGTGAAGAGTGTGGCAAAGCTTTTAATCAGTCCTCAACTCTTTCTAAACATAAGGTAATTCATACTGGAGAGAAACCCTACAAATGTGAAGAATGTGGCAAAGCCTTTAACCAGTCTTCTCACCTTACTACACATAAGATAATTCATACTGGAGAGAAACCCTACAAGTGTGAAGAATGTGGCAAAGCCTTTAACAACTCCTCTATTCTTAACAGACATAAGATGATTCATACTGGAGAGAAACTCTACAAACCTGAAAGTTGTAACAATGCTTGTGACAACATCGCAAACATTTCCAAACATAAAAGAAAGTGTGCTGGTGAGAAATCACAGAAATATGAATAATGCGACAGAGCCTTTAAATGGTTATCACACTTGCTTGCAGGTTAGGTAATTCACACTGGAGAAAACTTCTACAAGTGTGAACAGTGTGGCAAAACTTACACAATGCTCATACCTTATTGCACACAAAAGCCTTTATACTTGAAAATAAATGTACAAATATAAAAAAAGTTAAAATGATTAATATCTGCTCACATCTTACTCAACATCAGAGAATTTATACTTAATAGCATTAAAAGTGCAATTACTGTCAAAAGAGTCTTGAGAAAATGTAAGCTTTTAAAGTGCTGAAGAGGATTTATTTTGAAGACAAACATTACAAATATAAACAAAGTTGTGGTAACTTTACCTGTAACACAGATCTTGTTGTATTCATTTTGTATTAGAGGCAAACCCTGAAGCAATTACTCAAACTTCATTCAACGTCAGAAAATTTATATAGAAGAAAAACCCTGCAAATATAATAAATTCGGAAAAAAACATTTATTCAAAAACTACAGGTTAGAAAACTCCAGAGAGTTCATATTAAAATATATTTTTGCAGTTGTAGTAAATAGAAAAAAATATTTAATTCTATGTTAAGTCTGTAAATATCAGAGAATTTACATTAGAAATATATAAGGCACTGACACTTCAGACTTTACACTGAATCAGAGTTCTGAGTTTAGAATACAATACAAAACTAAACTTGGTAGAAAAATTATTTGTTTATAACTTTAAAAGAGTAGAAGATTTTTTGGAGAGTTACAAGTATACTTTTTTTTTGGAAAGATTACAGGTTTTTTTGAAAAGTAAATGTGGCAAATTCTCAAATTGCTTCATACAAATAATGTTGTAATTAACTCAAATTACTTCATGTTAATGTAAGTAACTCTCAAATTACTTCATGCTAAAGAAATTAGTTTCTTTTCCTTTTTTTTTTTTTTTTTTGAGATGGAGTCTTGCTCTGTCGCTGCCCAGACTGGAGTGCAGTGGCGTGATCTCAGCTCACTGCAACCTCCATCTCCAGGGTTCAAGTGATTCTCTTGCCTCAGCTCCCCGAGTAGCTGGGATTACATGGGCACACCACCATGCTTGGCTAAGTTTTGTATTTTTAGTAGAGCCAGAGTTTTGCCATGTGGCCAGGCTGGTCTTGAACTCATTACCTTAGGTGATCCACCCAGCTCTACCTCCCACAATGCTGGGATTACAGGTATTAGCCACTGCGCCTGGCCCATGCTGTTTCTTTATTCCTATTGTATTCATATATGAAAGCATGTGACCAAAAGATATGAGAGATTATTTTTTATTAGGTGAGCATTTATTACCTCTTCTATGAAAGAGTAAGGACATTAAAATGTGAGATGCATGATGAAAATCTAAGTAAAGAGGTTCTTTGTAATTCACTTACGGTATTGAGTGATGTGTGAGGTAGGTGTTCAGAGTAATATTCTGCATTGTAATGAGAGACAAATATTTTTAGTTTTAGTTAAAATTAAAAATAAATTAGTATATTTTACTAATTGTACTTTTATGAATAAAAAGCAGTACATGTTAAAAATTTTAGATTATGTCTGAACTTAATTTCTTAATTCAGCATTTTTAACAGTTTAAATATTGTGCATTCAATCAAGTCACATTATTCCACTTACTTTAACCTAGTCCACCTTACTCAAGGGTATAAGTAAAAGGTGGTAACAAGGCCAGGTGCGGTAGCTCATGCCTGTAATCCCAGCACTTTGGGAGGCCAAGGCGGGTGGAACACCTGAGGTCGGGAGTTCAAGACCAGCCTGACCAACATGGAGAATCCCGATCTCTACTAAAGATACAAAATTAGCCAGATGTGGTGGTGCATGCCTGTAATCCCAGCTATTCGGGCGGCTGAGGCAGGAGAATCCCTTGATCCCAGGTGGCAGAGGTTGCAGTGGGCTGAGATCATGCCACTGCACTCCAGCCTAGGCAACAGAGCGAGACTCTGTCTCAAAAAGAAAGACACCTTATTAAAATGATTTGTCTTGTTCCAATATTGATTATTCTGAAAATAGCTACAAATTCATACTCAAACACACTTAATCCATAATCTTCTTACACCTAAGGTTTATATTTAGACTAATAGATGTGTATACTTAACTCTGTAAATCAAAACTAAAAGTCTGTATGCGTTTGCAAGCAGAGAGGTCACATATTCAAAGAAAAACATACAAGAAATTATTTTTAGGTATTTATCCAGGACTCAGAAATGTGCAAATTTTATACACGTATATAATTTTTATTATAAAAATATAAAATTATTTTAAAAATAAAATAGTGTACAATTGAGCTGTTCATAATACAAAAAACAAATTCTAAAGGTGATGGATACCTCATTTGCCCTAATGTGATGATTATATGCCTCTATCAATATGCATATGTAACATAATTATGTTGGCAAGATTGTGCCACTGCACTCCAGCCTGGGCGACTCCAGCCTGGGTGACAGAGCAAGACTCCATCTCAAAATAAAATAAATTTAGTCATGTACACAAAACAATTTTTACCTGTAATTCTAAAATTAGTGCATTAAATTATATTTTATTTAGTTGGAACTTTCCATTTTGTTCTTTTATTTGGAGAACCCTATATAAGCCTACTTATGGTTTTTTTTTTCACTTTTTATGATGGACATAAGTAAATTTATTCATTGACTGGGCAATTTGTTCAGGTAAGTACTAGGGAAGCTTCATAAGTCATGAGAATGTTTTTATATATAAATGTAGCAAACAAACATGACAGTGCTTGCTGTGTAACAGATACTCCATAATAAGGCGTAAATATTCATGTGAAACTTGCAACTTCAAGTCAGGTAGAAAATATCAAAGGTAAACAAATAACATTGATTCTTCATGTGGAGAGGACATTTTTTTCAGGCTGCAAAGCTGAATTTTGCTGAATTTAAAAAGAAATTCTGCTTCATTTATTTTCTAATTATCTTAAGCTTTGTCTTTTTATGTGTATTCCACCCATGTATGCATCATAGCCCTTCTTCTTTTTCTGTATTACAGTCTTCCCAATTTTCTTCTTTTTCTGTACTACAGTCTTCCCAGTTTTCTTCATGCCATGTCATTTCACATGGTATTTTGTGGGTTTTGATGAGAACTTTGGTATTTTTTAATGCACTGAAAAATTGGTTTTAACTGGAGAGTTTGCTTATCAATGTAACTTTCAGATCAGTTAATTAAGATAAATGGCATACATGTCCACAGGTGCGAGGATTAAATCAGTTCGCATGGAGCTGCTTTCTTTGTAAAAAGAAAAAATATTGATTGAAAAAGAAAGTCTTACTAGATTCTTACCCAAAATGTGACAAATATAAAATTTGCTAGAAAATATAGAAATTAGAATATTAAGAGTTTATGGTAAATGAACCATATTACATTATTATTATTATTTTTTAAGATGGAGTCTCACTCTGTCACCTAGTCTGGAGTACAGCGGCACAATCTGGCCTTACTGCAACCTACATCTTCCAGTTTCAAGCAATTCTGCCTCAGCCTCCCGAGTAGCTGGGATTGTAGGCACCTGCCATTGTGCCTGGCTAATTTTTGTATTTTTGTGGTGATGGAGTTTCACCATGTTGTCCAGGCTGGTCTCGAACTCCTCATGATACGCCAGCCTCGGCCTCCCAAAGTGCTGGGATTACAGGCATGGGCCACTGGACCCAGCAAAGAAAACTAATTTGTATCAATAAAAGAGCCCAAATAGCCAAGGCAACTTTGGGGGGGGGAAAAAAAAAAAAGAGACCTCGTATTACCTGATTTAAAATTGTACTACAAGCTACAGTAACCAGTATATGATTCTGATGTGAAAATATACATATAGATCAATGGAGAAGAAGAGAAAACCCTGAAATAAAGCTACACTTTTACAACCAAGTTAATTTTCACAAAGCCCACAGAAATTAACAAAGGGAAAATAACTCCCTATTTAATAAATGGGGGTTAGACGCAGTGGCTCATGCCTGTAATCCCAACACTTTGGGAGGCTGAGGCTGGCGGATCACGAGGTTAGGAGTTGAAGACCAGCCTGGCCAACATGGTGATACCCCGTCTACTAAAAATACAAAAATTAGCCAGGCGTGGTGGCAGGTACCTGTAGTCCCAGCTACTTGGGAGGCAGAGGTTGCGGTGAGCCAAGATGGCGCCACTGCTCTCCAGCCTGGGTGACAGAGTGAGACTTTGTCTCAAAAGTAATAATAATAATAAATGGTAGTGGGGAAACTGGTTAGTCATATGCAGAAAAAAGGGGACCCCTACCTCTTTCCATATAGAAAATATAAGTTAAGATAGATTAAAGACTTATCTGTGAGTCTTCAAGGTACACAAATCCTAGGAGAACATTTAGGAAGGACTGTTCTAGACACTGGCCTCTGGGATGAATTTATGAATAACATCTTAAAAGTGAGTGTGAAAAATAAAATGGGGGTTAGACGCAGTGGCTCATGCCTGTAATCCCAACACTTTGGGAGGCTGAGGCTGGCGGATCACGAGGTTAGGAGTTGAAGACCAGCCTGGCCAACATGGTGAAACCCCATTCTACTAAAAAAATACAAAAAACTAGCCGGGCGAGGTGGCGGGCGCCTGTAGTCCCAGCTACTCGGGAGGCTGAGGCAGGAGAATGGCGTAAACCTGGGAGGCGGAGCTTGCAGTGAGCTGAGATCCGGCCACTGCACTCCAGCCTGGGCGACAGAGCGAGACTCCGTCTCAAAAAAAAAAGAAAAAAAAAAAAAGAAAGAAAAATAAAATTCAAAAATTCGCATCTGATTAAACTAAAGAGCTTCTGCACAGCCAAAGAAACTATCAACAAAGGAAACAGATACCCTACAATATGAAATAAAGTATTTGCAAAGTGCATACCAGTGATTAATATATTGAATCTATAAGAAATTTAATTTGACAAAGCAGAAAAAATCAACACTTCTCAAAGACATAAGAGTTGCCAATAAACATTCAAAAAATGCTTAACATCCCTAATCATCAGAGATATAAATCAAAACGACAATGTGATACAATTTCACACCAGTTAGAATGTCTGTTATGGCAAGTCAAAAATTAACATGTTGAAGTTGTGGAGAAACAGGTATCTGTTTCAACTTCATCCTGACTTCAGGAGAAATGGGTGCCTATAAATCTTAGATTGGATAAGAAAAATGAGGTACTTATACAGCCTGCAATACTATGCAGTCACAGAAAAGAATGAAGTAATGTCCTTTGTGACAACATGAAGGCAGCAGAAGGCCATTAATGTAAGCAACTTAACAGATCAGTAAAACAACACATGTTCTCACTTATATGTGGGAGGTAAACATTGGGTGCACATGGAAGCAAAGATGAAAACAGTAAACACTGGGAATTCTAAAAAGATGGAAGAAGGAAGGGAGACAAGCATTG